CTGTTAATTTTTATATGTGGTTGTATTCTATATTCTTGCTGATTGTGTTTGAATACTCTTCTTCCTTCCCCTTCTTTCTTTCCTTCCTCTCTTCCTCCCTCCCTTCCTTCTATTTCACACTACAGGTTTTTAACAGACGCTCTTCTCAGCCTCTTTTTCTTCAAACATTTCTGAACTACTAGTTTCTGCTCTGACCACCAGGGAGATGAAAGCTAGTAAGTTTTGATTTGCTTAAATACCAATATTTCAATTAAGATTGGTAAACTCAATCAGGGTATTTTACTTACCACAAAGGACTTGAAGTTAAGTATGTGGCTGACACAAACTATGCTGTTTAATCTAACCAGCACATCAGCTGCAGACACAAGAGCTACGGAGACTAAGTGAGGCAGACTCCTTATTCCCTTCAGCCTCAAGTCCCAGACTACATCTGTTTTCTCTGATACACAAAACCAGAATTAAAATAGCTCCATTTATCACAGCATGATTGTAGGCAGACAAACCAGCCTGTCTGTTTCCAGATAGTGAAAGTAACTGCTATTAATCACAATTACAGGCCAAACCCTCCAAGAGAAATTGCATCAATATTCTCCTAGCCAACAGTTCTGCTACTCTGGTACTAAAAGCAAAACAAAACAAACAGTACTGAGACTGTCATGATACTGTCTGAAGGTCAATAAAGAAATTGCTACTTAGGCCAGCTTCAATTTTCAGTTCAGGGAGCAAATGAGGAAAATCTTTTATACATATAAAAAGTGTCTTCTCAAAAGCATTAACAGTAAGCCTAGCAGCACAATTAGACATACTTTTTAAATTTTAAATTAAAAACACTTCTGCTTTATGAAACTATAATTACAATGAACATTTGAAAGTTCAGATTAAATGATTAACTTCAGAAAAGCTACTATGAAAACAGACATTTTACTATAGCCAATTTCATTGGAGAATGTGAAAGAAACTTGTTTTTCTTTCATGCAGATTTTAAAGAGACCTATAGAATGAGACTTTAAAGCTATAAATGAAAATGACAGTGTCAGACCCCCTTACCTGTACACATCTTTTTTTTTGTTTTTTGTTTTTTTTGTTTTTGTTTTTGTTTTTGTTTTTCGAGACAGGGTTTCTCTGTGGCTTTGGAGGCTGTCCTGGAACTCGCTTGGTAGTCCAGGCTGGTCTCGAACTCACAGAGATCCGCCTGCCTCTGCCTCCCGCGTGCTGGGATTAAAGGCGTGCGCCACCAACGCCCGGCCTGTACACATCTTTTTAAACAAACTATAATCCACTATTCAGTGGTTGGTGAGGAAGATTAAGAAAATAAAGCAGAGATCTACCTGGTACTCTCCTGTTACTTAAAAATACACACTATAGTATTTCAGCCTCTACATGAGAGGCATGTCAGATGCTATACAACTGTCACAGCTACGTCCTATAATAAGCCTATGAAGTGGTGAACTCTTGGTCTGCAGTTGAGGACAACTGCAGCTCAGAGAACCTGCTTCCCTATGGCATCACCAGTAAATACAGATTTGATTTAAAAGACTATGTCCTTTCCTATTTATAGTACTCTAAATTTGTATGTACATGTGGGTATGTATCACTCATATGCAGTCATAATTTTGATCATATATTAGGGTATGTGCACATATACACGTGTGGTACTTGGGAATGAACCTAGGACCTTCTGCATGTGAGGTAAGTGTTCACCATCCAATTATATTCAGAACATCATTTTAATCTTCATCTTGAGACAGGATCTCAATATAAATTGCCAAGAAAGGCAGAAAGAGGGATGGACACACCACTGCATCCACGAAGGCCTGATAATTTTATTCTCAATGTGAGGAGACAACCTGATTTAAAGAAAAGATTACCAGCAGAAAGAGAAGGGAGGGGGACCAGAAAAGTTAAGAGGGGACTATGGTACATGAGTAGGAAACAGAGTTGAACTAAGATGGTACCAGGAGAGGTGACATAATTTTGGGACCTGGAGTCACCAGCACAAATCTTCAGGATGGTTTTGACTGTGGAGCGAGACTGTCACAAGTGAGTGAATAGGGGAGTGAAAGGATGGGTTCTCTCTAGCAGCTTAGCAAGACCGAACCCTCACTTGAGCACATGTGAAGTGCACTGCGCACCTCTGCAAGCCCAAGTCCTTTTCTAAGCACAACAGGAAATTAGGTAGTTTGGAATTAGTTTCCATGCAGTCATTGTTTCTGATCACATAGAAAATAAATATGACAAATGGGACAGAAATTTTAAAATTTGTCCCACAATGCAGCAGCCTGTAAATTTAATATGGAATCAAACCTTGCGATATTCTATTACAAGTCAATAAATGGAATTTTTCAGTCTGAAGTCTAACAAAGATTTCTAAACTTGAAAATATACACAAGTTGTACAAGTAGTTTTACTTTATGTAGTGATAATGAAATGAGAGTGGTCTACATAGGCTCATGTATTTGAATACTTGGTGCCCAGCTGGTGGAACGGTTTGGGAAGGATTAAGAGGTATGGCCTTGTTGGAGGAGGTGTGTTACTTGTCTCCTGGTTATATTTTGCGATGTAGGCTGTCTGCTACCACCATGTCTGTCTACCTGCAGCCATGCTCACTGCTGTGGTTGTCATGAACTCTAACCCTCTGAAACTATGAGCCCCAAATAAACCCTTTCTTCTCCATGCTGCCTTGATCATGGTGTTATCTACAGCAACAGAAATAATACCCAAGACACTGTAACATGAACTGCCCTGTGCTGTTTCAGTACCTGATCGTGAAATGTATGCCTACAATCAGGAAGTGTAAAATACAAGGAAGTAAGTGATTTATGGGAAAGAACTACTAAAAATAAAAATATCTATAATGAAGAAATTAAAACTTTGATTCCCCTCTGGGACACTTAGATAATGTGGAAATTAAAGAAAGGGAGGACTTAAAGTCTTAAAGGAAAGCTAATACATAGTATTTCTTTTCAAAGGCAGTCAATTTCAATCTTATTTTAAATCATTTCAAATATTTTAACTTTCTTGGTGTAAGGACAGGGCACTGAAGAATGAAGCACTTACATTAACAACAGCAACTTATTTTTGAATTCCATGACATGAAGAACAGCTACTCAGCAGCATGGTGACAAGGACTATAGGAGACGAAGTTACACAGACCCCAGAAAACACTGAGAGCTGTGAAGTGCTAACACTTCCTTTTAGCTTCTCTTCCTTTCTCACAATCAGGCATTCACTGTGTCTGTAGTTGCCTGGACAGTACAGCCTGAAGTGAGGGACACCAAGCTAACAGCAGTGAGCATGGCACAAATCACACCAATCTTGAAGTTTCTGAATATAATACGCATTCTCTGGACTAACTGTGACACCCTTCAAGAGAAGGAAGATGTTTGGAAATTCTGTAGCTTAGCTGACCAGTAATACTTATATAGAATATATATATATTCTATATATATATATAGAATATATAGAATATATTTCTATATAGAATATATAGAAAACACATTATATAAGACTAAAAGGCATTAAGAATACCATATATATATGTGTATATATATGTATATACCATGTACACACACACACAAATAAAACAATAAGAGCTAGAGAGGTTGCTCAGCTGTAAGGGCTGGGGCTCATTCTCTATCACAAACAAAACTCATGGGGAATATTTACAGACTTTGCTTTTGGACCAAGGATTGACAAATCAATATATTACAGGGTAAGAGTTATACTTTTCCCAATTATTGCTTATTGACTTCACTTGTGGTACTGGGTAAAGCATACAATATATTATAATATATAACATATGCATAACTTTTCTAACTTTCACAAATAAAACCCGTTTCAAATCTATGTGCGGCAGGGTTTAGTCTACTTTCTTCTGCAGGGAGTGCTCTAGAGGTGCACTGTGTCAGTACAGCTGTGCACCTTAGAGACAGCAGCCCTCCACATCTGTGAAGCAACTGCCGCACGTCTCCCTTTGGGTACCTCACACACAGCCACCCCCAGGAAGGCCTGAATATCCTCACAGATGTAAAAGAAAGCTGCTGACCACAGAAAGGCTGCCAGTATGGCTCTCCTCTGCCCTACTCAAGTCACTTGGTCACCTTTAATCTTGGCAAAATTTCTCATAGTACAAAACATGAGTGATTCCAGCCCATCATTTCACAATCAAGGAAACAGCCATTTAATAATCAACTCTCTAAATCACAGTTAGCTTCTATCATCCCTTCTTTACAGTCAGCCATCCTCACTCTCTGTTCTTTTTGTCATACTTACTCAAACACAGATCTTACAGTTCCTGTTTTTAAAGAAGGCGTAAGGCCCATAGCATACCTCAACTTTTAATTCCACTTGAAACATTTCTGGTACCCCTTTTCTCCTTTTTCATTCATCATTCTAACATTCACTAGCACCTCTGGGAAACCCTGACTCAATGGATTAGGTAGCCATCAAGCTTCAGGCCTCCACATCCATGGACACACACATGCATTCAGTATACATGCAAGGAAACACACATGCACAAGTGCACACACATGAAAAAGAGGAAAGAGAACTGAAGAGAACTGAAGGAAAGAATATGTTTAGGAAAAGGAGAAAAAGGAATTTATCTACTTTGATGTTCCTGAGACAACCTAGTCGACTTATTCTTCCACTATCTCTCCACACACACGGAAGCCCTTGGTCCTAGTATACAGTAACCCACATGAAAAAATCGTTACCCTCCTGAACGCCAACATTCCAGCAAGCAAATGTGAATGATCTAAACACATATGCACAGCATCTTAGATAACACAGTTACAAGGGAAATCAAAAAGGACAAGAGGTTTGAGTCTAGAGGCTAAGAGTTTGATTTTTAGGTGATTGTCTTCATGCATCTTCCTAAATTTTTCTAAAATTTCTTACATTTATTTTTTTCTAAGCATAAAATTACAGATTTTAATGAGTCAACTATTTTTAAAAGCAGGAATATCAGAAATTCTATATCATCCCCCCTTTAAAAATACCTCCATGGTGATGTGACAGGCTCCCTCCATTGGCAAGGATTTCATCTCTAGCAGCTGCCTGTAAATGGAAACAACATAAAATGTTGCTGCTACTTGGATTTCAGTTTGGAGTAGCTAACATTTATTGACTTCTCCCCAGATACTCAGGAAGGTACCAAGCAATTTGCTTGAACTCTTCATTTGTTTCCACTACGCATCCAGAAGCACTTACGGAGGACATCTCTCAGTTCAAGCACATGGGATAAGTTATTTGTAGTTCTACACATATATCTAAAGGGGAAAAGGAGGACAGGGGAAGGAGGGAGGGAGAAAAAAATAACGCCAAGTTTCGTTTTGTCCCCTTATTTAACCTCCTAGCATGCTAAGTCCTAGCTATCCTTATGGCATGCACCTGGGTCAAAAGATAAACATAGAACAAAATACAGACAGCATGTACAGTGAAGGGCGATGGAACCTGGGATTGCCTTGGACCTTTCTGTTTCCCTTTTCCCTTACCTAACCCCTCCATGGCCCGCTTTTAACTTTTTTCTTTTAATTGAAAAAATTTTAGGTTAGTATACAAAGTGATTTAGGTTTATTTACAGTTGTTTATGCATATATTTCGCTATATTTTCTATTCTTAATGATTTGCTAATATTTAATAGCCACAAGGTGATTATCTCCTATACCTTGAACTCCTCAGACATACTCATGTCTATAAACCATCAACGGTGGCTGAGGGAGATGACTGCCCAGGTGGCAGATGGACCAGGCCTCCCTGCAAAGTACTCTGAAGGAACCACAGGACCTGGGAGCTGAGTTTTCACAGGTATGCCAGTCTCTGCTCAAGAGCTAAGTATTTCTAATAAATCACTTCAAATAAAACTGCTCCATGAGATCAGAATTAGGAAAACAGAAATAATTTTAATTTGTGAACTCCAAGGAAGGAGGCTTTGTTTGTTTTGTGGTGAGATGAGGCTATATAACCCTGGCTGGCCTGGAACTCAATGCACAAACCAGGGTGACCCTTTCAAGCTTGCTGCAGTCCTTTTTCCTCTGCCTCCTCTGTGCTTGAAAATACCATGCGCAGCTAAGCAAAGACTTTCATAACTGGACCAGAGAGAGACAAATACAGTGGAACTTCAGGGCAGCGAGATTCCTCAGTGCTTAAAGGCACTGGCTACTATCCTGAACACCTAAGTTTTATCCCTGGGACCCATATAGTGGAGAGAAACAGTCACCCCCTTCCCCCCCAGGTTATCCTCTAACCTCCACTTGTGTGGTACTGCACACATGTCCCTGTACACAAACACACACACACAACAACAACAAACAAACAAACATATAAAGAATATACTTAAACTTCTGAGGATGATAGGTATCATTGGCAGGAACATCATCAACTTAAAAAACTAGGGCACCTGTGTATCTAAGTGACACATCTACTATTGCTTCTTCCAGTTTAGTGGAGGAATTCTATGTTGCTTCTAATAAGGAATATAGCAGTCAACACCCAAGTCTATAAAAACCAGCAGCTTAAGGACACTTAAGAAATGTAATTCAAACTGCTAGCAAATGAATCCCAAGGACCTTATACACAGTCGTTTCATAAAAACTCACAAACATGGGAATATATTACAGCACAGATCAAGAACATGAGGGCTGTTGACCTCAAGAGCAGTTACCACCTGGAGATGTATGGACTGCCAAAGGGACTCAAAAGACCCCTACAGTATTAAAGGTTCCTGCTGTTATTTAATTGGCTATAATGCACTGAAAATTAATAACCAAAGAGACACCGGATTTGAAATACCCAACATTAATTTCAGACTGACAATTTGGAAGTCAGTTGACTTAACATATCTTTCATTTCAATGGTCTAGCAGTCAGGCACACCATGTGTCACTAACGTAACTCAAACTAAAATTCCTAAGCTGATACTAAAATTTATTTAAATTAATAAAAGAACATAAAAGCTACACGCAAAATTACCTCAGTTTGTTCAAACACAGTCAGTGGGTCACTAATTCCCCTGTAGTTAAAGGCAAAATAGAAGTAGATACATGCACCTACATCGTACGTCTGTGTCACCCTAAAAGACAAACGGAAAAAAGATTTCAAAAAAGTTCAGTGAAAACAGATTTAACAATTAAAACCTTCAAATATAAGATCACTAGGCAATCTATCCAAGCCACAATCTCATCCTTTATTCAATCTCCCATTCCCAGGGAAAAGGGCCCATTGGCTATCTTTATGGCTATTGCCAAAACAGGTGAACTAAGAACACAGTTGGGAACAAAGGATTTTGCTTTCATTTAAATGTGAGGTTAATCAAGATTGCAAATACATGGCTCAGCTCACTTATTCTGTTTCATGGTACTAAAGCTACAGGGAAATGAAGCAAAAATGTTTATAAATACAGTATTTTATATAAAAAACATCATTCAGTGAGCTTATTGAAGTTATCTACAAGTAACAGAACCTTATTTTAAACAGCATATCTGAAAACATTTAAAATATAGTCAAGTAAGTATTGGCATAAACTGCTTTAACATGCACAGTCAAAATAACCTAACAAAAACCTGACTTAGAAAGTCCTTCTCTTAACAATATAAATAATTTATCCTGTTACATCCAGTTTATGTACAATTAGTTCTTTGTATAGATAATAGAAAACTTATTTGAAGCATAGTACCATTATTGTTCAAGTCTATACACATGGATACATTTTATATGCAAGAGTAAATAGACATACTACACAAAGTATCGACCACCCATAAAGGCAACATTAGAAACAAGGAACTTGTTCCTTCACTGGTTCATTAACTATTTGGAGCAGAAATATGAACTATATACCACTACATGCAAATACCAAGCACTTAAATTAATTTTTATTATTTAAAGAAACTATATTGATGATAAAACACAAACAAGCTATCACCTCTGCAAAATACATAAATGCTCTGAAAACAATACCATGAGCTGTCATTTGATTGGATTCTTGTGGCTCAAGAAATTCTAGGCATACAAAAGTAAATCATTGAAGTGCTAGAAAAAACTCATATGGTCTCTACAGTCAATACAGGACACTTTGTAGATTACAGGAACAGGAGTGAAGAAAGCTGACAATTTTATGCTCCGTTTAATGACTTTAAAAGGGCACATATCTTAAAACACAATTAGTATAATTTTACTATCTTTGTTATACTAGAGACGTCGGATGTATACGGTGATAGATAAGTAATATCAACAGCTTTATGCAGATTTAAAAACCAGAATAGTAGTCAATCAATCGATAGTAGTAAATACTGGTTTTTAAATTTTAATAATCATACTATGTAACTATGTAGGATATTGATCCTGGGAAAATGAGTGAGGTGGTATCTGAAAATGTGATGGTTACTGCTAATTAACTATCAATCTGACATAATCTAGAGGCATCTAGAAGGGGATAACTGTGATTATGTCAACTGATACAAGCAAATTCATCTTAATTCAGACAGGACCATTCCAAGGCAGAGGATCCCAGACTATGTGGAGAGTTGGAAGTGAGCAGCAGCTGCCTCTGTCCTGTTTTCTAGCTGTGAAAGGGATGTGACCAGCTGCTGGAGGCCACTGTGTTCTTGACTTGCTCACCATGGAGGACTGTGTCTCAAATGGTGAGCTAAAACAAAATTCTCCATTCTCAAGCTGCTTTTACCAGAGTAGTTTACCACAGCATCAGGAAAAAAAAAACTAACACCACTATACTATTTTGCAACTTTTTGTAAGTCTAGATTATTATCTCTCCAAAGTTAAAAAAATTTAAAGCAATGTAAACGCTTTTCCAGTTGACCTGAAATGAACAAAACATCCATCATATTCAGATGTTACAACAAACAAACTTTCCAAACAGACTTGGCGGAATGCGGTAATCAGTTACAAGTCATCCAAACTTCTTAAAGTTAACAGAACAAAACATGGCTCAGAAGTGGGAGAAATGTTCAAACACCAAATAGGATCAGACTTAAATATAGCCTCTTCATGAAGCTCAAAATAATTAGAAAGGATTTGAAAAACAAATAAAATGATGACCTCAAATGCAGTGGCATGACTTTAAAATACTGTCTATAACTCCATGGGTATGTGTCTATACAAAAGATATCAGGGATGTGAGGTTCTTAAATCATCCACATAATAAATATCTAGGTTTTCAAAATGCAATTAGGAAGCATGTAAAGGGAGTTTGGACAATCACAATCAAATCTCCAAACGCAAGCTATAGAGATACAACAAAGGACTCAATCTAACAGAAGCAACAAATACTTCTTACTACACAGTTCAAACCGAATCTAATCTAAAACTGTAATAGTCTTTTAGGCCAAATGTTAGGTGCCTCAGAGCAGAAGAAATGAACTGCTTACCAGTGCCAAGTCAATTTGCCAGCTGTGCTTTTCTTTTAATGTTAACTCACACTCATAAAAAGATCCCTGAACATTAACATTTTAAGTTTCAGATTTACAAGTTTAAGAAAATTGGAGAACTATTTTAACTACGAAGTGCTCAGATTAGGAATAATCAAGTTAAAAAAACCTGAAGGATAAGTAAAGTGTGTTTATATCAATTAAGAGTATACACTACTCATGAGGGAGTCATTAACATCAATACATAGAATATATAACCGGATTTTAATAGAACATTGCCACTGTGCTGGCTAGTTTTATGTTAATGTGACTCTAGTCATTTGTTATTTAATAAAAAAGTTAAGATCAGTTAACCAATCACTGTTCAATATGGAAGATACTGATTACAGGTGGCTTTTTTTAAACTTCACACAAGCAACATTTCAATCACTTAGTAACCAGTGTGGCTTGTGTCCACCGAACAACAAAAACACAGAATACTTCTATTACCAAAGAAACATCTATTGGAAAGTAACAAGTTAATTATCACTTGAGTCTTTCACTCCTTTTGTTCTTTATCCTATTCCCACAGATATAATCGATAATGGAAAGGTCGCATGCCCCTCCGATACACACACACAAAGGAAGGCACCGGCACACTGACTGTTCCTTTAGTTCATTGCTGTGCCTCCACTGCAGTTTGTGGCTCCAGGGAGCAAGAGAGGCTTCTGTTGTCCAGGAGCTTGCACACTTGCTCTTCATGGCCATGAGGTCCTGAGAGGGCAGAAAGCCTCCGGGGCTGAGGGCTGAGGCACAGTTAGGACAGTAGAGTGAGATGTTCGGGGAAGTTTGCCACATGAAGTTAGGCCAAACCTACTTCTCAGCTGGAAAACTGTATTTTACAACTGTTTAAAAACAATACTTTGGGGACACTGGGGGGACTCCATGGGTAAATGTACTTCAGGGTAGACAAACAGGCTGATTTCCACGTGCACTGTGGTACACTGTGCCCACACTCACATGCAGCTCACACACACATATCCACCTTCGCAACACGTAAGTTTAAAACCCTGCTTTTCAGAACGAGTCTATAAACGACTATGGAAACTCACCTGCATGTAGAAAGAGGTGCAAACTGAACACCCTTTTCTTTGCACTCCCTTCTTATCCTCTCTTTTACATTTCTACACAGATCTATAACCCTAGAAAAGATAGTTGAATACAACATTAAGTTTCCTTAAGCTATTTCTTCATCAGTTCACGCATTTACATATTTATTTAACTGACTGGACTCCAGTTAGAAGAATAAAAAGAGAACATAAGCAGGTAACAAGGAAATGTGTAATGCTACAGTGGTAACACTATACTAACCCTGAAGACACAAGTCCACCTCAGCATGTACAGACTGAAATCTTCCCCTTCACACCATGTGATAGCAGGAGTCGAGGTAGTCAGGTCGTGAGGGTGGAGTCCTAATGGATGGAAGTAGTTTGTCGTAGAGAGAGAGAGATGGGAAGGCTTGCTTTCAGCCACATGAGGGCACACAAAAAGGGGGCCTTCTATAGACCAGAGGGCTTTTACCAGCAACCCCAGACACCCGAAACCCCCTGACACTACACTTCAAGGTGAGTGGGGAAAGATCTCAGTTTAAAACATGTAAGCCAGGCAGTCTATTGTAACAGTCCATACTAAGGACTATATCAGTAAGGAGCAGTATGATGGACTGAAGCTATCAGCGATAGAACTGACATGAGCTGCCTGCCAAACTATTGCTCCAAAGGGATCAATGGTGACGAGCTGGCGATTCTTCTTATTTCTAAGATTTAGTCCCCTTGTTAAAATGTACTTTAAAGAAATCTAAGAAAGGAGAGGTATGGTAGTACATAAAATATAATCCAAACAGCAGAGGCTGAGGCAAAAAGATCACAAGTTCTCTGTCTGGGCTGCATGGCAGGTTCAAGGACAGCCAGAATCATACAGATCTTTCGAAAACACCAAGTGAGCACTTTTGGGGGAGTGAATAACACAGTGATCCTATAGAGTGGATTGATCTCAAATAATTCTTGAAATTTGACTACCAGTACACCAAAAGCCAGAATCCACAGCAGGTTAAGACAATGTGGAAAAGACAGGTGCTTTCTAGAGGAAAAAATTAGGCATGAGAACAGGATATATACTGTTCAGGCATTATATATAATACTTAATGCCTGAATGGTGGTCAAAACGGATCTGCTGTACTTCATTAGTGACCAACAAGAGCTCACACATTTTATACAGGAAAGGTGAAATGTACGTATGTTCAAAGAAAATAAAATATACCGATGATTTTCTTAGGAAAGTTAACTCAAAAGTCCATGTTTATAAAAGTATTTCACAGTTTTTACTATTGATTCCCTACACTGTGTGAGCATTCATGGGTATGAATGTGTGTGTTTCCAGTAGAGAAACCCAAATAGTCCTATCCAGGACATTTTGTATCATGTGTTTTAGTACCAAAAGTTTGCTTAAATGTAAAAATAGAAATTATCCTTAATATCTTATAATTGGATTCCTTTCAGAAATTATTTAAATGCAAGGGAAGATTTTGTTAAATCTACACACACACACACACACACACACACACACACACACACACACACACACACACACACACACACACACCAAAACTAAATGAACCATTACAAAAGGAGGCAAAAAGGTTTTATAATCTGGGGTGGGAGAAGAAGGCTTTCAAAAGAACATTTAGGCATAAGAAATCACCTAAGCTAAGTCAAACTACACAGAAGCTTTTTGTGTTTGTTCAGTAAGAGTCTTCAAAACATTAACTTTAATATACTTGTTTGTTGAGTTCCAAGGAAATTGATCTTAGTTCAGAAAAGGGGTGGGATAAACAATGAAAGCAATGGTATTCAGATCACAATACTAATTTAAAAGAGTACCTTCTTTACTTCAAAGTTTCTTACAAAAATTTTAAACTTTCCATATTCACACACAAATAACATGGTCACATACATGCATCAATTATAAAGTATTTCAGAGTAAGTCCTTTTGTTAGGTTTTACCTGTCCCAAGGAGCAGACGTCTCAAAGGATTCTCCTATTATATAGTATTCTAAACCCAAATCCTGTAAAGATACACAAAAAATCATGAGATTACAACTGATGCATTAATTGATAAACCATCAGAATTTCTGGAAGTTGTTAGTAGTGTGCCTCTGGTCTAACCTCACCTGATGTTTGTCTCATAAGAAATTAGAAAGTTCCCACATGTGGCATGGCCTCTCTGAGGACAGGAGCCTTGTGTGCTGCTCTCCACAGCCTCAGCAGCAGATAAAGCATCTGACACAGAAAAGGAACCCTAATATTTCTCTAATGCACGGAGTCTCTCCAGGAAAACTTATGCATGTGTGGAAGAGATGAGAGAACAGATGTCACACACAGTTTCTGACTTGTGCAGAGTCATCATCACTTCTGAATCAGTGACTACTTGGAATCAAGTATTAATCTTTAAAGAAAGGATAAAGATTCATAAATCTTTAAGATGGATTATAAATCAAGTGACGACTGTTGCCACATAGGACAGTTTGACTCCAACCCAAGTATCGTTAAGAAAGGCACACTTGGCTTTCAGGCAGAGGCTGGTTCCCTTTCTTAAAAGGCAGAAAGACATTAAACCACCTGTAAGTTCCTCAAAAGCACACAAACAAGTCTTAAAGGGCCTTCTAAAATGTCACAGTAAATCCAGGCTTTCAAGTAAAATGATATGCTAAATTATACAGAAAAAAATGTATAGATTTTATCCATTCAAAGCAAGAAAACTACTATTTATAACCCAAGTCAATGTGGTGTTTGAATGAGAATGACCCCACAGGCTCATATATATTTGAATGCCTAGTCTCCAGCTCATAGGACTATTTGGGAAGGATTTGGAGGTGTGTCCTTGTTGGAGGTGTGCCAATGAGGGGGTGGCCTTTTCGATTTCAAAAGTCACACTATTCCCAGTTAGCTCTCCCTACCTCCTACTTGTGGATAAAGAGGTAAACTCTCAGCTACTGCTCCAGGGCTGTGCCACGCCTGCCTGCTGCCATGTTTCCTGCCATGATGGTCATGGACTATCATCCTCTGCCACAGATTAAGCATTTTCTTTTATAAGATGCCTTCCTTCATCATGGCAATAGAAAAGAAATTAATGTCAGAAATACAACTTACACGAATGTATGCAATGACATAAGTCAGCAAATAACCTCTCTGTCCATTATCTTCTCCAGCTGCCAGACCACTGAAAATAAAGAAGAAACTGTCAGTATGTTTTAACAGAATAAAAATAAAAAAGCCAAATTGATAATATCTCAAAATAACTGCTCAACACATTATATTCAGTTTTCTCTTAATTTCACAAATCATTAATATACCAGAGTTATCAAGAGAATGAGTTTGAATAGCAAATCTGAAAACACTTTTGCTTCTTTTTTTTTTCTTTATGGAGACAGGGTTCCTGTGTGTAACAGAGCCCTAGCTATCCTGGGATTCACTTAAGACTGGGGCAAAATAAAGGATATCGTTTTAGAAACACAATGCCAATGAACCAACAAGGTCAAATCACTCAAAGTGAAAAGTTCTGGGTTGGATGTGGGGTTGAGGCAGAGAGCCAAACAAAGTTCTAAAACCACCACAGTGCTGTGGCAAGAATTAAGGGGGATACAGATAGGTCTGGCCTTAAGTAGACACAGAGCAAAGTCAGGTTCTACAGCTAAACAAGAAGAAACAGTACAGAACTAGGAAGTAAAGCAGTTTTCAAGGGAGCTGGTAGTAGAAAGGAAAGACCATGAAGCCAGGGGATGCTACAAGACACCTGTGCGGGCAATCACTGAGATAGTGTATATGGTGGGAACAATCCTATGTGCTTCACTGGGTGGGACAAAGTCTACTTTTCCTGTCCTAGGGCAAGCCATTTTCCTTTCAATCCTTTGCTACCATCTGGTGATAAGGAATCCATTCCACACTGGGGTAGGTGGGCAAACCCTATAAAACCATGCTTTTTGAAAAAAATCTCACGGGGCTGGAGAAATGGATCAGCAGATACAGAAAGCCTGCTGCCCCTGGAGAGAACCAAGTTTGATTGTTAGCACCCACATTGGATGGCTTATCACCACCTGTTAACTGTAGCTCCAGACGAACTGACACGTGCACATATGCACTGGACACACACACATATAAATAAAAGGTCTGTAGTAAAGAACAACAACAATAAAAAAGCTGCAAACAGACATCCATCCTATATTCATAAGCCACGAAAGAGAATGAAGGGCAATTTAAGCTTACTTTTTATAATCATGGTTTTCTTGCAAATTTAGCTTTTGGAACCTCTTCTATTTCTGGTTTCAGAGCCGTCAATTTAGCCAAAATCAAATTAAGATACATTATGCAAGCAATCACAACCACAAAACTCAGAAGTGAACTATTTCTAAAGCTGTCAATTTTGCAGCCTCTCTCTCTATACATATGTGTGTGTGTGGTGTGTACACATAGTCGAGTGTTATTCTCACAAATCTGAAACATCAGTTCACAAGGTTCTTAAACAGAGTTAAAGAAAGAGTAGGTAGTTTAATGGAGAGGAAAACTAGACTCTCATTTTATGTACAAGGACCATCTGGCCACACTAATCACTATCATGCAACAACTTAAGAACATCATTTTTACCATGTTCTTAAGTTCCATTAAATGTTAAAACATCTGTCATGACTACTGACATATGAAGTTACTCAGCTCTGACAAGCATAGACAAACAATCAAAATGATCCCTTAACATTTGGCTGTTATGTCCATTGGGTCGTAGGTATTGAGGCATGTTCACTAGTGCTGGAGTAGGGGTAAAAGAAGGGCAAAATGAGTACAATAACACATAAAAACATTCTACATGACAGGAGCACTCCATTAAAAACAGTCAATTTTAGCTAACAAGACAATAAGAACACAGGACAAAAAAGAAAGGAAATAAAGGATGGATTAACAATGCCTTAATTAAAAACAAGCTCCACCAACATATACAAACTTTAGCAGACAGAAATGTGGTGGAGCCTCCTTCCCTCTGTGATGCACCTGGAGACACAAATGGGGACTCAGAGTTGGTGGTACAGCATTCAAATAAGAAACGCCCCTAAGTCTTTCTGAAGCAAAACTTCATGTCTACTGAAAACAGGGAAGTCAGAAAGCCAAAAGACAATGTGTTTCTAAGGATAAAAAATAAATAAGATAAAAATAGCCCCAAATCATTTTCCTAATAACCTGGATTGTTCAAAGCACAGATTTGTATATTTAATGAGGGAAGTCAGACAAAAGTACCAGAAGAACTTAATTTTACACAAGGAACAAACCCAGCAAAAAGAAAACAAGTCTCCAATCCTAATCAAGGCCCTTCCTCTTTGCTTTAAACTGATCTCATTTATATTTTTAATGGATAAAGGTGATGCACATTTATTTAAAGTAAGCAAAATTACTACAATTGTTCAACATCTCAGGAAGGTTGGAACATAAATCTCAAAGTTGATTTACTTTTATTTTGAGTTGTGAGCCACCATGTGGTTGCTGGGAATTGAACTCTGGAAGAGCAGCCAGTGCTCTTAACAGCTAAATTATCTCTCCAGCCCTATTTTTAAGTTGTAAATGAAAGTTCTTGTGGGAAAACAAAACTAGCATTAGTAACATTTATGACAGTTGGTAAATCAGATAAAATGACTCTGATAAAGCCCTACGGGTTAAAATACAATTAATTAGAAGAATAGAGCAGGAAAAAATATCAGGGAAAAAAACATTCTATTGAGTGTCAATAACTCATTGAAGAAGTTTTTTAATCAAACACAGACATGGAGTATGCTCTATGAAATGAAGTAACACCTCAGAAGAAGCAGGCTAAACTAAGTGTGAGGTAGAAAGAACAGTCACTTATCGTCACTAACCTCCTGCATTACAATAGCAAATGTGACACATTACTAGATACTCATCATCTTCTGCCTCCCTGTGAACTGCAATGAAAAGCATTATTTCCACAAAGTTGTGGGGGTGCAAGTGTCAGACAATAGGAGAAGAGGCAGAATTAAACAAAATTTAACCACATATCCAGCAACTCAAACATTATGACAAGATGTCTTTTTCATTTCTAAGTACATCTAAATTTTAGAAATCCCAATTAAATATTTAAATACATAAGAATCATTTCCCAGGCTTTTGCTAAGACCAAGAGAAAATATGTAAATAAAAAAATTTTAAACGTCAGTTTCTAATATTTCAGGCTAAAGCAGATACAGAAAAAAATTAACTTAAATCTACTTTCTGATTAATAAGCTTTTTTAAAGAGGAAAAAAAAGTATTTTAAACAAATTATATTTGTATTCCATATATCTTAGAAACTAGAAAATATAGGAACGCAGTATTTCTTCTGGAGAAGAAAATATGCACAATTCAAAGGCTAGAAAAGGAGTGGGACTTAAAATCCATTTAGATATTAAGTGTATCTGACTTAGAACTTCAGTAGTTAAAAAAAACATAAAAGAGAGAAAAGAGGAATGAATATCATCTATTAAGGAAATTCTGCTTGTAATTTCAGAAAGGACCAAAAATAAAAGAGGGACTTATTTTCAATGCTCAAAGATAGTACCAAAAAGAAAGGTAAAAACTAGACTGTTCTCACTCTACGACAATACTGAATACTAATCTAAACAACCCTAGAAATAAAGGGCTAAGTTAGCACATGCACAATGTGGAACACTGTACAGCACTCATCTACAACTGAAGTGAGTTTCTGAAGACAAGAAGAAAGGAAGGGAGATAACGTCTATAGAGTTCAGGGTAAGCTTAATGTTAAGTATGCCCTAACCCTGGACGAATGGGAAGACTAACAGGGAAGACTGCTGGCTGCTGCCCCTGAGCAGCAAGGGGAGCACGGCCTGACAGATGGCGCGTCCACTGGTGCTCCCACCGTCAGTCTGCTAATCCATCAAGCAGACAGAAGCCACCCCATCATTATTCAACTAGTTAGAGATGGACATGTTGTCTGTTTCTTTATACCAACATAAAACAGTAAGTGACAGGGGGTGGATATAGATAATTTATCAAACACCACAGACTAAACATAATTTCCTTTTAAAAACATACTAGCAGCATGCTTTATACATGAACTAGTAAACTGACAATTTTGTTTCATTTTTATACACAAATAACACATCACGTAGTTGTCATCATGAAAAAATCTAGGAAAAGCAAAATGTTTAACATTATATTAGACACACATTGTATGTATGTGTAAAATTATATCACAGCAACAGATCACTCTTTCTATAAACTTTTGGAATAAGAACAATATTTTAAGTTTACTTTCACAAATCACAATGTATTTAATAGCCAATCAAAATTAGGACTGCTGACACATACAGACTGTATGAAGCCATCACAACTTCAGCGTACTTCCACTGTGCTATAAATTCAAAGCCATACCCAAATTTTGCAGCAATGTCATATACTTGTTTTTCATGCTGAAGAACCTTCTCACGGTCCCCCTCAAACAGTAACGTGGCTACACTTAGTTGATTCGGATCAAATCCTTTAAACTACAAAATATAAAATAAAACTGTATTATTACCAGGATACCTTAGCCTATAAAATAACAAACTGAAACACATTTTGCTCTTTTCCTTCTGACTTGCCTCAATCACAGCAGCCTATTAGACAGTGAGCTTTGAAGCTTTACATGTCAAGTAACAAGAACATCTGATGTCCTACTGACTGTGGGAGTACCGCTAACAGGTGAGTATCTGCTGGACCTATGTGCGGTCCTGGGCTGGACGCCCATCACCACAAGAACACACACAAGACTGAGACATACAAAATATATCATATTTCAAAGTATACCCATAGTGTTATAATCAGCTACTGAAATAGTAATACAACAGGTAACCTGCCAGAATTCTAACTGTAATAAAAAACAAACACAGATTATAAAATGACAGAGCAAAGCAGCTGCCTAGAGTTAACATCTCTACAAACCAACCACAACACATTATATAATACCAACCAAAAAAGACCTTGTGCATGCAAAGAACTAAGACTAATTTTAAAAAGAAATATATAAATTCACTAGGGGAAAAATTAACATAGATGTTCCTGAATGCATAAATTATTTCAAATTTGCCAATACTTGTCCAAACTAATACACTAGAATATTCCAATTATAATAAAAATTCCAGTGATCATTTGAAAAGGACAAGTATCTAAAATTTTTCTAGAATAATGAACATGTGATGGTGGTAACAAAGAAACTTCTAAATAATAAGAGGTAAAACTACATTATATTTTTTAACTTCTTAAAAACAAAACAGAAACTATTATAAAGAACGAGTAGTGTCTATTTTCAGGTAGTGGTATATGTAATAAGATGCCTTAGGCATCAATGTAACAAGAAGTAGACATTAGTCACAGTCCCTAGTGTGAAGAGGAGGGGGTGAAGAGCAAGCTAGATCTCAGCTAACAGCAAAAGATTGAACTAAAACAGAAACAACAACAAAACCCTCTAACTGTCAATTAAAACAGGGAAGGGATATGATAGAGCTTAATGGTAGATCACTTGCTTTCTGGGTGAGACCCTGATTTCACTTCAAGCACTACAAAAAAACTGAACATCAGAAGAAAATAATGGGGGTTGAGTAATGGAATGTCCCTAAATATACTAGAAGAGCAAGGGTTTTTCCCAGCTTAGAAGTGATGAAAATTGTCATAAGAACAGACATAAAATTGAATCCATGGCACCAAAAAGAAAAACTCTATTAAAAAGGAGAGCACTTGATTGGAAAATGTCATTTACAAAACCCATGCCAAAGGGCACCTCATAATTCCATTACTTAAAAGGGTGTGTTTCAAAGTACAGTGGAAAACGAGTAACCTGCCCTAGCACACCACTATATTTAACCAATTCATATAAAATTACACCCAGAAAAGACAGAGACAGAGGTTGGTTCAATCTCTCTGGAGTTTGAAGAAACATTGTCTAATTAGGCAAAAGAATAACAAAGCCTTACCCCACAACAACAAAATGACACATTATTGCCTTCTTTCAAAGTTCTCAGAAATGAAAGGTTAAATAAATGAACCCACCCTCATTTCACTTCTGAGTACAACTATAAAATAAAAATAATTCAGACTATAGGAAATGTCACCATGAGACTATTTTTAGACTTCCGAACCAGAGACAAAGGATTTTGAAACTGACTGAACAGTTCAGTTGCCAACATACTCACTCCAACATAAAAACACAGCCTTATGGGAGGTGTATATAGGGAGAAGGCAAGAAGAAAACTCATGTCCCGTACATGTACAATTTTAGATTTTTCTTTATTCTTACCTTTGTAATATAAAACTTTTTTAATCCATCCAAAAATGATGTAAAAATAGAGGAGACCTGAGGTTTAAGAGCGTGACCTAGGAAGAGAGAAAAAGTTAACAGTTTAAACAGCAAATTATGTTTCTCAGACCAAAAGATGGCTTTAATTTAGAATCCTAAGGAAAGTAAGTTTTTACAGTTGTAATTTATATGGATGCTTATATTAAGATCTTTTACCTCTATATTCTTTCAAAGGTGACAGTGTTTTACTTATAAAAGCCATTGTTGCTTTTTAAGCCAAATTACTACATGTAACTAATACTATACATAATTTCAGTTATCTTTCAATGAGATAGCTTACACACAGTAAAACCACCTCATTAATTTTTATTTTATTAAGAACACCCAGTGGTAGCTGGTTTTGCTATCATTTTTTTAATTATATAGAAACCACACAGAACTATAATCAAATATGGAGTCCATGTGAGGTTTAAGGTTGTTTCTTAATTAATTCTTAACTCATCCAGAATTCTCAGCATAAAACAAGCAATTGCTTCTTTAATTTTAACTTGTGGAGTTAAAATTGCCAAAATAACACAAACAGCATCTTAGAGTCTGTTAAATTAACATCGATGCCTGCAGATTATGCTTAATTAAGTGAGAACTTTCTGTTTTCTCATCATTTTCAAAGAGGAGCAACTTCTCAGCACTTGAATGGTTCCAGTTAAGTCCCACATCTGCCTTAGTGCTATGAGCACAGTTCAAAAAACTATGCTGTCCTGTTTATGCGGAATTTTCAAAAAGAATCTGCAAGTATTTAGCAAACCTAAAACTGTCTTTAAATAAAGGTTTTTTTTTTCTAGCCTTTTCCGGGTTGAGGATTCTGAAGTATGTTAAGACCTTCCTTTAAAAGAAATGCAAATGGCAAAACTAGCTGCTACGAAAACACGCACTGACAAGCTCTGTTGCATTCCAATATATAATATTTATTGACTACATTTATCCCCAATTGCAATGACAAAACTAGGTTACATAAAAGACTAAGTAAAACAGATCTCACACAGAGACTAAGAGAACCTAAGCTACAGCTTCAACAGTGAAAAACTGAGAGACAGTCAAGAAGCAAACAAAGAAAATGACCTGTGGGGTGGATAGAGACCATCTGGATCAAAATTTGATTTGTCTAGAAATGTTTTTCTTTCCTATAAGAAGAGGTCAGAGATGTTTCTCCAGGATAACTTAAGCATTTATAAACTAGAAAGAGCACATACCGAACAGGACACACTATGCATTGACAACTAAAATTAAACACATAAATGTGTTGAGCTCTGATTAGTGATCAGGGCTGTAATCCCAGATATTCAAGAGGATGGGGCAGGAGAATTAAAAGTTCAAGGCCCACTTGGACTAAGACTGAGTTCAAGGCCAGGCTAGGCATTTTATTGAGACCCTGCCTCAGACCACTTAGTGGTAGAATGCTTTCCTAGCATGTCTGAAACCCAGCTTTTAGACCCAGTACCACCAAAGTCCTGAGTATGTTTTGAGTTCTTGCACAGAAGATTTAAATTATGCTTTATTCAAAAGTCTTCAAATCCATTTATCTTTAAACAATGCAAGAGAACTCCAAATGTTACTAATCCAGTGTGAAAAATACTTAAGGATACATGATCACCTTAATCCACTGACTCTGGTGGGCACATTCCCATTACATTGGTGGGATCAGCCACATTCATCCACAATACTGAATTAAATCAACTATTATAAAAGTGATACTGATTTAAGTGGGTTGACCATTACTAATAACTTAAAGACATTGGTACATCTTTTTTCCATCAAGTTACTGTTGCCTATTAAAACTAGTATATATCACATATATTTTGGTTAGCCTGCCTTATTTTTGTAGTAAATTAATTTCTAAATATTTTAGTCAGAAAGTATAAGTAGCATATACCATCAATTTCATGCTATATTGTTAATTCATCTAAAGGATTTGTTAACAATGTCTTTCTGAAGTTACCAGACACAGCTTAAAGCATGGAGCTTTGAAATCAGACAAACCGAATTTGATCACAACTCTCCTACTCACAACTTGTACACTCATCACCTTGAAGACCAGCTGACAGGTAGTGTATGAGAAATTGTGACACTAACAATGTGCTCAGCATTGTGTTATAAGTTATCTAGGGTTTGTTCACTTTCTTTTGCCAGTTCAACAATTAATTCGACCAACAGCTAAATGTCCATTATATGGTAAGTGCAGGATTATAGAGGAAGAAATATTCCTCAAATTTGGAAGTCTCATCAATGTGGTAAATATGCAGATCATGTCAACATACTGAAAAGTGATTAACTTCAATATATTGTTTTAAGGGTTGTATCAGGAAAAATAAAAATATTAAAAATAGTGTAATTAACAATAAGCCTTGTAGCCTCCAAAACAATACAGAGAAACCCTGTCTCGAAAAAAAACAAAAAACAATAAGCTTTGTAACTCATTAACTAGTGTAACACAAAACACTCATCAATCAGCCAGGTTGGTGTAGTCCTGGATATCACCTACTGCACTAAGAACTACTCTTTTAATTGCTGAATCATGAAATCATGATAGCCTATACAGACAGAAACGCAATGGAATCTGAGGAATAAAAAGTGTTATACCCTAAAGGAGAAAAGGGTGGCCCAAAGGGGAGCAGTATGTGCATATGGCCAAATGTGATATCGCTGAAACATATTCTCATTACGAAAGTCAACACTCTGTACAACTATATACGAATAAAGAAAGCAAACAAAAAGTCACAGCCAACAGAGGCATGGTATTTCAAAATGATCTCTCTGGTAGTTAAAGGGGGAGATGAAACATTGTACTAGATTTCACAAGGTCCAACTTTATATGCAAAATTTAAAAATTACTAAGAATTAAAAATAACGACTAAGTTCAGAAGTAGCAGGGGCTGTGTGGGAACATCTCTAAGCAAAGAGAATGAGGGCACCTGAAGACCTTTTCTCAACTGCCCATTGTAAACTGTTACACATCCTGCTCAAATAAAATCTGCTCAAATTACAGGTGCTTCCCCAAAGATGGGCATTGAGACAATTCACTACCTCAGTAACACTCAAAAGACAACACAGTTGGATATGACTCTCTTAATTAATACCTAGATCTCCAACTACAGGCCAAAACTAGTTCTTGATCTGTAAGAGTCTGGCATGCTCACTTAGGTTGTTATATAATATAATCATTTTTACCTCCATTAAAATCTAAGCTGCCCTAAGAGCCAGCCTATCTTAGCCTTTGGCATTTGCTACAGAGAAATGGCAATAATTTCAGGAACTATTTCTGAGTATTTAAATTCTTAAAGCTAAATCCCAAAGTAAACTTCCACACATGAAAGGCAAAGTAGCAACAACAACAACAACAAACCCCAAAACTGAAAAGTTTAATCTTTTAGAAAAATGTTTTTAGACAAAGCTGCTTACTATTCTCCACCCAAGTCTCCCAACAGCACCCCTTACTGTACTACACGTTCTCCAAACCCCACTGCCAATCAAGCAATCAATGTCATGGGATGTTCTCAGTCTTCCCCTTAGCCTGCCACTGCGGGTAGCTAATGCTGTCCTGGAAACTCACCCTCTTGCCCACTGCTGCCACTCTGCTCAGGGTGCTCCAAGTTTGCCCCTGCATTGCTCACCACGTGCAGCTGGGTCTCCACTCCACCCCTCCTCATCACCCTGAGCAACACTGCCAGAAAGAGCTTTCTAAGGCAAAGACGGTTGACGCCCCCTCCACAAAGAAAGACCACTGCAGACAAGATATCCTCAAAATACTTGGAGTACTCTAAAACATGCTATTGTGCTTTCACAAATGCAGCTTTGCCAACCAATCTGGATAGGTAGAAGACTCAAGCAAACCTCCACTTCCCCTTGAAGAGTCAGAACAAGTACCTTCTCTTACAGAAGCCTTTCCCAGCTTTCCTCCTCTACCCGGGGAAAGCTCCATGAATGAAGCACGGCTTCACCAGCAACCAAGGCACCCGGTGCTCGCCACAGTCCTCCTTTCACAGGCCTGAGAGGCCTGATTAGAACAAGAGCTCCAACAAGGACAGCACGATGACAATCTCCATTCTCTGAAAATTCTGGAGGTTGACTGAGCACATTTTAAAATCGCCACTCCTTACTCACCAAACTGAAACTGCTGGTTGTCCATGAGGCGGATAGATGCGGGAGCACATCTCTGTGTTAAAAGGAAGAAGTGGGGGAATCAGTTCAATAGACTAAACACTCACACAGCAGGATCTGACTGTTACTTTATAATGTAAGACTTCAAGGACTTAACTCCTAAAGATACATGGAAAGAAAAGAATCTCAACTTGTTATATAACTTCATGAAGACAAAACATCAGTGGTTTATAAAAATATTTAGAGAAATCTATGTATAAAAGTAATTCATATATACTCAAACCTTTAATCTTTGCAATAAAATATACTTGCTGCCTGGCAATAACTTGTGAAAATAACTTAAAAGAATTCTACTCCTCAAAATGGATTATTTTACAATAAAGTAGAACTTTTTAAGACCAAATAGTGTTTTAAGAATTGTAAATTTTCTAATATTTTACTAGGTTCTTACACAGTAATTTCCCCCTTCTTCCCCCTACCTACCTACCCACCCCCGCTCTGCTGAGAATCAAGGTTGCGGCCATGCACCTACTGGGGAAATGCTCTGCCACTCAGACACATCACTATTCTCTTGCACACCTTTAAAATGAGGAAAGCATTGGTGGAAATTGTTATATGCCAAAAAACTTCTAAAATATATCTACAATGTCTTCAAAAACAATGCTAGGAGCCTTTCCCTTTTTTGAACCCTTCCTCAAAATCATTTTAAATAGAAAATCCCACAGACACACAGTCAGAGTTCTAAGTTCTTTCAGGGTTATATGTAATGCAAACAGCAATGAAACTTTGACGGCTACAAATATAAATCTAGCCAGGTGGTGGTGGCACATGCCTTTAATTCTAGCACTTGGGAGGCAGAGGCAGGCAGATCTCTGTGAGTTCAAGCCTAGATAGATAGATAGATAGATAGATAGATAGATAGATAGATAGATAGATAGATAGATAGATCCCAGCATCCACATGGCAGCTCACAACTGTCTGTAACTATAGTTCTAGGGGATCTGACACCCTTATACAAACATATGCATACACATACAGGCAAAATACTGATGCCATAAAAAATAAAAAAATAAAAAAGTGGGTGTTAAAAAGAGAATATATATCCAAAGAATAAACCTGCCCGAGTGTGTGTGTGTTTGTGTGTGTGTGTGTGTGTGTGTGTGTATGAACTAACTAGGAAGAAGGGGAAAGCAAGACAAAACACAAGGTGAAGACAGCAGGTGATGGTTGAGCAAACTTCACCTGTAAATAAGAAATTCAATTTTTTTCAGCAACACCTTTCCAACACCAAGTTTCAGATCTAGGTGTACTTGGATATGCAGGCTGCAGATGCCCAACTAGGAAAGTGTATGGAAGCGTGCAAGACCTGAGTACCAACACTAATGGTGATAAGACATTCAGCCTGCACTTGTATTATTTTTGTGATAATAAAAACTATAAAAGGATCTAATGTCCAAAGAGGATTATTGTTTCCTACACAAGATTTTAGCATCTAAAGTTCTACCAAGGACTGTTTTTAGAGTAGATATTTTGAAAAATGCTGTAAACATTTTTTTGAGACAGAATATTGCTATGCAGCCCAGAATGCCTCCAAATTCATGGCACTCCTACTGCCTCAGTCTACAAAAAAGTCATAAAATTTTAAACATTTGTCTTCACAGTATCATTTATCAATAAATTCTATAAAGTTCCAAAACTCCTTAGAAGCTTAAAAAGTGTATTAAGACATTTTTACTATTATTTGCTTTTTCTTGAACAAGTATTAGTTCTTATTAAAGCATAAAACACAGTAATTTACCCAACAGAAGGATAGGTAAGATTCTTATTTTAAAGCATACGCAATTAATTTATCATCTAAAACTAAGGATGAGATAATTCAATTGATTACTCAGAGTCACTGGCAGGTGATCTTATGCACATGATGACAGCCCACCCCTCACACTGTGGTTTCAAACTGTGCCCTGTTTTTATTTCACATAAGCAACAGCACTGTCAAAGGAGCAGAACCTGCACTAACTTCTTTTCAGACAGACACAAGAATGGATGAGGTTACACTGTTTGTCCAAGGTCAGAAGGCTATGAAATAGTAAAGAGACCAAGATGTCCTAACTACTGATGAGCAGGTTCAAGCATGCCACACAGCCTTGCTGAGCACGCGCACGCGCGCGCATACACACACACACACACACACACACACACACACAGTGCTTAGCTTCATATCCAAATCAAAGATTACATCAAAACTACCGCATCTGCCATTTTGTGCTCTTATTAAAAGTGTAATAGTTTTTTTAAAAAAATCACCATGGGAGCTGGGTGGTGGTGGCCCACACCTTTAATCCCAGCACTCAGGAGGCAGAGGTAGGCGGATCTCTGTGAGTTTGAGGCCAGTCTGGTCTACTGAGCAGAGTTCCGGTACAGCTAGGGCTGCACAGAGAAACCCTGTGTGTGTGGGGGGGGCAGTTAAAAAGGGATAATTTCAAATTTTGGTATAAAGGTATTCCTAAAAGCACTGCCAGTTTCCAATATACTACAGGAGGATCAATTTTCTTCGCATTTATAAATCCTGATGCCTTTAATCAAATGAATGCAGTGACTGCTAATAAAACATATGAAACCTGATTAGGGCAAATTTCCTTTATTCATAAAATAAGTAGACTATAGGTATACATGAGATAATATCTATAGTATACATGTTTTTTGTTTTTTTGTTTTTTTTGGTTTTTTCGAGACAGGGTTTCTCTGTGGCTTTGGAGGCTGTCCTGGAACTCGCTTGGTAGTCCAGGCTGGTCTCGAACTTACAGAGATCCGCCTGCCTCTGCCTCCCGAGTGCTGGGATTAAAGGCGTGCGCCACCAACGCCCGGCTATAGTATACATGTTTGTATGTTCTGAATTCAGAGCACTTTTGTGCTAGGGTGTGAAATTCCTGATGAGAACTGTAAATTCTACCTGCTGCCACCAGCCAGGTTCTACTTCAGTTGCTTCAAGAGCGAGTGCTATTAATAAAAACAAGCAACACGTGTGTGCTGAGGAAATGGGAGCCGAAGACACCACTCTCAGTAAATGCTTATTGTTGGGGAAAGTTGGGCTACCAGGATGCCTTTTTCTCTTAAATGATTTAATTATTGGAATGTACAATTTTCTTAAATAGATGAATAAGATATTTTTAAAAAAGAAACTGCTGTAATTCCTTAGATATGATCATCATATTGTGATTACAAAGAATGCTGTCCTCTTATTTTATAGGAGATGACTGCTAAAGTACTCAGGAGTCAAGTGTTATGGTGTCTGCAACTTAATTCCCAATAGTCCACAAACATATGCATAAGAAACAAACAGAACACATTGGATCTATGAAGGGAATATGCAGGTGATTTTTATACTATTTATCCCAATGCTCTATGTATAAATTTTTCAAAAGTAAAAAGAAATAGAAAAATAGGCAAAAAAAAAAACTTTAGAGTACTTGCTAAATCATGCAGCTATCAATATTCACCAAAACTGAACGTGATTTTAACTTGGTGGCTGAGTTACATGAACAAATACTATCCCAAAACAAAGAATGAACACTGACTTTTAGAAAGAAATTATTCAACAGATTTAAAGTTTTATATTTTTTCAAAGTCAATAGTTTTTCAGTTGCTGTCTTAAGTAAATTTACAGAAGCAAAGAATTCAAATAAAAAATATTATCTAGTTAGTATGCTGGCCTTTGACAACTGATAATTTGAAAATTATTACAGATCATTCTAAACATACAAAAAATTTACTTAGATATGAAACAATTAAAAATTACTACAGCAACTGACCGAAGAAAAGTTCATATAATCAAAACATTAAAATCATGTCCCTGGTGTATGTATAACACAGATCAGGCTGTCTTCACTGCTTTCAAAGCTAAATGGTGAGATCAAGTTACAAAACGAACGCAATCCTCTCTCAAGGACAAAGGGTATAAACTCTAAGAATCATACTATCCCAGTAAGGCAAGGAGCCCTGGCTACAGTGACCCCTGCTGGTAGGTGTCAGAAGTAACCTGGGAGGGCTGTTTCAGGGCAAACAAAAAATGCTTACTCTAATTGAAGTTAATGAAATAACTAAGTGCACTTACTAGAATTTCTCATGCACCTGACTTGTACAGCCTATTTATAGTTAGTAGCTAACAAAACGGTATAAAAACTTACTGTGCACTAATAAAAACTATCATTTGTTTTATCTTGAATAAATAGATAAGCACACAGAACTTAAAATACGAGTACAGATTTGACTAAGTCAAAATTCTAACTATTTCTTTCCTATTAGGGTTTTACAATCCAGGAATTTACTTGAATCTAATCCTGGATTGTAAAATTTAGAATTACTATCTGTGCTAAATTAAAAAGGAACACTATCTCAATCCAACTATTTCATAAATTGAAAAGGGCAATCTCTGTAAGAGCACCTTAGAAGATTTGTGAAAAGTGCTTTCCTTACACTAAGCCATGGCTACTGCCAGAGAGAGCCACAGCATGCACTTGAGATGGGCATGTGAGGAGAGCTGTCTCTTATGTGACTAGCTTTTACCAGAGTTCGCAGTGACGCACCTTTTAAGTCTCCCTAAGACTGCTACTGCTTTAACTTCTTACAGATAAATGCCACAGCTAGTGAGTCATCTTTGAACTAAAATGGTTTCTTCCATGGGTAAGCCAAACTTCCTGCCCAAATTCCTGAGCCTAAAGACTATCAGAAATAGTCTAGCCTGGCGGTGGTGGAGCATGCCTTTAATCCCAACACTTGGGAGGCAGAAGCAGGTGGATCTCTGTGAGTTCCAAGCCAACCTGGGCTATTACACAGACAAACCCGGTCTCAAAAAAATAAAAAATAAAAATAAAATAAAGGAAGAAAAGAAATAGTCTAGGTGTTGTATTCGAAACAAGTGCTTCAATATTAAACCCTACGTGCAATGCAATGCAACAATTAAACTCAGTGAAGTTAGGCTATGTTGTGTCTTTAATAATTACCAAGAGACTGAGAGCTTATCTATTTAATTTGCACACTACCCATTTCATTATGCAG